TTAGTAATCGAGGTACTCGAATCATTCGAGGAATCGTTTCAGCCCTAATCTATTCCATATGTTTTTTTTCAGTCTCTCATAAATGAGCATGTTTAGGGAAACAACTTTTAAAATGACCAACTATTTGAATGTACTGGCTTTAATATCTGACCACTTGTGGCAAAAATAGCATTTACGGTAATTGTTGATATTTCTACATATCTCAGTAGAACACAGGAAAAGAAAGCTTTCTTGCAATTGAGGCTGCACAAAATGAAGCAAATTTAGCAATATTGCAATGAAAATAATATGTATGCAATAAACATGATATATATTGGAAAGAAAATAGGCATATCCGGCAACTAATATGGCCATCGCAAGATTTTCTAATAATATGCAGCAATGGCAATAATTATTTTACATTTTTTGTCCCCTGTACATTGACAAGACTACTCCTTATCTGGGTTATGTTTGTTATAAACCAAACACAGAAATACAATAACACTTCTTAAATTGTTTATCAAAAGTCATATCATTATCGCACATTTCTCTATTATGACCTGGTCAGGTGGGGCTTGGGTTAGCTCTCCTCTCCACACAGACAGAATAAACCAGTCAGCCATGGTGGAAAAAAGAAAATAAACATTCACTGAAACAAAAAGAAAAACTCTAAGCTTAGCACAAGGCTAGCAATGCTTATGAATGTAAAAAATCTGTACGTTTTGTCAGTACTCGGTTGACAGGAAGTGTAAGGATAAATGTGACGACAACTTATAGAAACATGTCTCATCAGAAACATGGATTAACTTTGCTTTCTTTTTCTTTGTGGGGGGTCTAACATCTGTACCAGATGCAGAAAATAAAAAGTAAAGGTCTTGATCTTTATAGAAGTGTACACAAACTTTTACTGTTTGCAGGCTTTTTATGTGACATACTTTTGTGCTTAGTTCACTTCAAAGCATTTTCAATAGGGAGATTTTCTATTAAAATGTTAAAAATGTCAGATTCTTGGTTTTGCACATGATGTTTTAGTACTTTAAAACAATGGTGGCAAAATACTTCTTTTTTTTTGACTTGTAAAACCCATTCAATGTTCTGCTGAACCACAGCTGCTTGTTACATTTGTGAGGCTTGAATAATAAATGTGGATCACTGCCTATTAATTTGTTAAACTGTTTTCATTCACTCCATTTGTTGGGTCAACAAAAATGGCTAGAATAGGAAAAGTTGATGATGGGGAATAACAGCAACGCTCCATGAATTTCCATGTGCATCATATAAAAGTTATATTTTTATTTTTTAGACCTTTTTCCATCACTTCGTTCTGGTCTCACAGGAGTGTGTATGAATCAGTGTTTCAGTGAAGCATATTCGAGGTCACATGTTAAAAGACTAGTTCACAGCACAAAACACCTGATTCTCAATGACTCTTGATAGTACTAAAATCTTCACTAGTAATAGTCGGTATTAACCTTTTCTAAGTTTGGGGTAACTGTTAGTGTAACTAGCTTAATAGGTTTTTGGTATCTTGTGTAGTTTTACCTCCACCTCCAGGTCAAAAGGCGTAATATAATGCCTCCTGTTTTTAAAAAGATGCCTTTTCTATTTTACACATCCTGCATATGACTTGGATCTTCTAAGAGACTATCTCTTTGCGAGTAATATTCACCCTTAACTAGGCATGGACAATAAATCAATAATACATCTAGATACGATAGATGTGATCGATATCGCTAGAAAAACATCCGACAGAATGTTCAATAATGTCTCTGATCTAGAAGCACTCAGCATTCTGGGGGATGTAGGCAGAGGAAAGGCTTTAGCTGCTCAACCTCTCACGACCAGCTAAGCAAGATTGGTGGCATCAACAAACTCACTCACTCACTCTTTGGTTACCTAGCAACAACCTACTGAACAGTTTCAGGCTTTGCCACAGTGCCTCATAATTACTAAAAGCTAAAAACAGTTTCCAGGAAATGTCACCAGTTTGGCAAGACTTTATCTATTAAAAAAACAACAACAACTAATCAATATATTTTTATTGACTGATATGAAATCCTTATTGTGATATGTTTTTCAGCCATATATCTCTCAGTCCTACCTCACGCCTGTCAGAGGTCCACTTTGTTAGGTCAGAAATTAACATCAAAACAATCCAGTTTTGACATTCACCAATCGAGTCGCTATCACCAGGCTTGCTCCTCTCTAGAAAAAAGCCACTAAGTTGCCATAGTCAAGACAAGCTCTCTTCATCTTGTTGCTCTGTCCCCTGGTGGTGGCATTAAGAATACAACCACCACCTGAAGCCTGCAAATGCTTGAGACCAAAACGCTTAGAACTACCAATTATTAAAGTTCAATATGCATAGATATGCACAATAGAAACTATCTTCACACTACAGCAGAAGTGAACATCTACAGTCTTCCTTATTTCTGCTTGTCGGGTACAGCCAATCAGCAATAATAAATAATAATAAATGTCAGCCAATAGTGTGTCAAATAGCACAGCGCCCATGTATTCCAGCTTCCAAGGCTGCATTTATTAAAAAAAAAAAATATATATATATATATATAGACAAATTTTCTAGTTATAATTTGGAGTTACATTCCATAGAAAAAGAATGAACCGCAAATAGATGGGGATCCACTGTATGACTAAAAAGACTAAGATTGCTAAATTGACTAAAACTAAAATGTGCTTTCAAAATTAACTCTGGTGTCATGATACTCAATGAAAGCTGGATCGATACACATAATTATGACAAACTGCAAAAGAAGTTGCTCAATAAAATAAAAACAGAAACAGTTATTCCAAAGTACTTGCTAAACAAACAAAAAAACACATCACTTAGATTCCAGAAGAAAGAAAAGATTTAAAGACTAAAGTATGTCGCGACAAACTGGCTTCTAATCAAGCTGGAGGGCATTTTAATTTGGATTAAAGAGCGCAGGGACACCTCATGCCCTGCCATCACAGCAGGGATCTGGCGCTGGAGGGGCGGAGGGGGATGGAGGGGGTGTGGTGACTTTTTGTACTTCTCCGCCTCCTCGTGACATCAGCCAGCAGTGTTAATTTACAGCGCTGAAAATGTACCCGCTCGTTTTTTTCCTTTCCCCCCACCCCCTTCAACCCTCACGACGACGACATTTTTGTACAACATAATCCGGCTGCGTATTACCTTAGCACAAAAAAAGCTGTGAAAGCGACAATAATGGCGAGTGCTGCACCGACATGACCAGCATGCGCGCTAACAAGATCAAATCCTAAGGCCAACCACCACCTACTCCGGGGATTTTTTTTCCTCCCTCTATGGCGAGGGGGGGCAACTTGGCTGCGTGTTAGAACCTCCCCTGGATGAATGGGTAGCCATATTCTCATTCTCAGCTAACGGAGGGAAAAATATCGCCAGGCCTGGTTTAACCGACCAGAGCTGGCTGAATCACACCGATGAATGTAACGCTTGGCCTACATGAGAGTCAACAATACTCATCATGGATCCGCTTGAAAAGCAGCAGACAGACACGACGCAGCGGCGGGTTGCGCGTGCAGACCACCCCGCTGGGATCCATGTTAGAAAGAGAGCGTGCCCACAGGAAAAACACTCAGTAACACACCTCCATTATTTTTTCATGAAATGAATCCATTGGCGGCTCATTAAGGCCAACATGGTGGAGAGCGTGCATGTTATCGGTGAAGCCAGACAACGAGTGGCGTTATTTAACTCACAGAGAGGGAACGAGACGAAACGAGCACACCTACCTCACTGGTCTTGACATTTTGCAGGAATACTGTGGAGGTTAGAGACGGGAGAAGAAAAAGAACAGGGAGGGGGGGTAAAAGAAATAAGATTCCCGCTCTGCACAACACTGAGAGGCGCGAGGCTGCCGCGCGACTCCACCGTCCGAGCTAGCGCGTGAAAATAAGAGGACGTCCAGGTTTCGCTCACCAAACACAAATATTCTTATTTTTTACCTTCAGCTACTCAAAATGGTGAATAAAACAAACTGAAACTGCAGCTTGTGTGCAACCAAACCAGGTGGTATTAAGGGGACGGTCCTCACTGGCCAGTACCGCCCCCTACGGACCTTCAGAGCAGCAACACGTCCTTCTCAGGTCACCATTGGCTAATTTGAACGACGACTTTTCCTTTTATTGCATGTGTTTGCTGCTCGTCAGAGAATTTTTACATGCTAGCCTCCGCCCCCACCCTCCCCGTTAGCACGGTAGGTTGACATCTCACTGTTGAGAAAACAAAAAGAGGCCCTCCGGTTGGATGCAAACATCCAATTCAGTGTGGGTCCCTGAAGACTATAAAGCGACAATGCAATCATACGTTCAAGAGTGCAAAGACATTATGTACATATGATTTAAATGACCACCTTTGACTGCACCACTACCGGGAATGACTTTCTTCTGTCTCACCTTGCAGACTGCAGTAGCAGGATATGCAGGTAGCAGGTCCTTCTGCATTACAGCTTAAATCCTGATTTACATTACAGCTTCTAATTATAAATGTAGGGTTTCTTTGGAAAAAAAAAAAAAACCTATATATGCTGTTTTTTTTTACACGTGCTGAGAAAAATGAGAAAAACCTCAACTTTTGTAAAAATGGATTTAATATATAAAATGAAATTTTATGTGAATTTTATTGAATAGACCAAAACAAAGTAACACATAATTGTAAAATGGCAGGACTTTGAAATTCTTTGAGAAATAAAATCTAAACAAAAAAACAATTCAGATATGTAGCCTTACAGTTGCTCTCTGATATGAGAACACATGCTCATGAGTATGCCTTTACAGTTTATCCCAAAACCAAACAAATATTTTGGAAAAAAAGAAATAAAAAAGCCACAATAACCCCAAAGCATGAAATTAATTAGCTACATCAATCTGATTCATTCATCACAATTCTCAGTTGAAGCACCTTTTGATTTAACTTCAGTAGTTTTCTTTGATAGGATGCTATATCATCGTCCCACATCTTGAGTCGGCAGTATTTGGCCACCTTGCCTTGCATTCCTTTTCCGCTGCCCTCTTGATGTAACCCTCTCCCCCCCTTTTTCTGTCACACTGAATTCTGAACTCTGGCTAAGATATTCAAAATTATTTTCCTCTATCAATCACTGATATCCTTGTGCTAAGCGTTTCATTTGAAATAGTAGCCCAAAACTTTAAGTTTAGTTTAGTCAGACCTTTATAATCCAAGCAGTCATTTTTGCTCATATATAATTTTCGATAATTGTAGATGTGTCAACTTTTTTTTTTTTTTTTAAATAACTGCCACATTAGTTACACTTTTGGGTTTTAAAATGAAGAAAAACAGATCATTTTTGCAAAAAGAGCATGAATCCTCTGTCTTCAATGGGATGTTAATATTTGTGGAAAACAATGTATAAAAAAAAGCACATTGTTTCCAACTTATCAATAATTGGATATAGAAATATAGCGCTGGTACATTTAATGTCATTCTGTTGTGGAAATTCATTGTAATTATTCAATGACAAATCAGTTAAAACCTACGTTTTTTTTTTTTTTTTAGTATATCTGTACTTAAAAACCTTTGCAAGTTCTTTATCAATCTTGGAACTGCAGGCTGCAAGCCGCTGGCCTAGAATTACAGACACCACAGGTGTCTGTAATTCATCTTTTTGTGGTAATCAGAAGAATTTTATATGAATTATTTGCAAAGGAAATATGAACAAACTAACTGCTATGTAGATTTAGTAAGCATCAACACCCTCAGGATGAGATGTCCAAGTATCTTGGTTCCTCAGACATTTCTCATATGTGAACGTGTTGGTCTAGAACAGCTTTTACTTGAAGGCAGTCCCTTTATAAATAAAAAGAAAACTAGCACAAAATAAAATGCAACATCATGAATATTTGATTATGTGTAATTTTAATGGGACGTCATTTTCCAATGTCTTCTGTCAGCAGCTGTCTTTAGGTACAGTTGATCATCTGACCAAACGTTCTTCATCTTTCACTTCATCTGAAGTTTCTCTCCTCTTCCTGGCAGTTCTGATCTTCATCCTTTGTCCAAGGATCTTCAGATTTCAGTTTCAGCTAATACAAATTATAATCACAAGCACAACGGAAAATGTTACACATGACACAAAGTATTGGTGTTTATATAGCCGAGCCTTTACATTAAGTAGATCCACGTCTATCCAGAGACGTTTACTGCAGGTAAACTTACTTTGCTGCACCCACACCAGCTTTTATTTGACTGTTTTATTATACTTGACTAAGTATAGCAAATGTTTTGAAAGAAAGTGACCCAAACCCTGTTCTTGTTCTGAGAATAAATTTGTTCAATCGAGCCAAAATGTTTTTGAAAACTAAATGCGCTTTTCTTTTAATAAGGCAAACGTGAAAAATCCATTTTAATTTTTCAATCTACAACTAATAACATTCCTTTTCCTACCAACATGGATGACCTTTTTTACTTGATTTTACTTCATTTCATTTTGTTCTTGGCCTGCCAGTACTTCTGATTCGATCATTTTGTTCCATGTGACAAACATTTTGGACATCCCTGAGTCTGGCCGTTTCTGACTCGTCTGTCTGCATTGTGCCAAGTGTGACACAGATTTTGGTGTGGGGTTGTTTGCCAATTTTATTCTTTCACAACGGCATCGATGAGCGAGTGTGCTGTCCGACTCGACTAACCTGCACCGAGTCCTGATCTTGAACAAATATGTCAGGAATGAATTTAAATGGAGACTGCGAGCCAGGTCTGGTTGTCCAACATCAGTGAGTGACCTGACAAGTTCCAGTTACACAGTTAAGACCAGTAAACACATAAACACCGGAAATAAATTAATGTTACCTAAAAGTAGTACAATAAAAGTGATTAAAATGTAAAGTTAGAAGTGGTACAGTATGGAGCCATTTTCAGTAGTGTTCAACACTTGACAGTCAGGGAAACAAAGCTGCATATTCTGTTGCTCGTACTCCTTTAGCGCCACCCAGAGGGAAAAAGGGCAAAAACACTTGTGTCCAGATCGTGTACTGTACTTCAGTTGAGCAGAATGAGAATTGAATAGAACAGAATTGAAACAACAGCCAAAAAATAAAAAAATTAAAAGAATCCCAAGTTATTCCTGTCATTTCTTTGCTTATTTCAGTGTGTTATCACAATTTATTAAGCAAATACAAGTTACTTCACCAGCTGGTGAGAACACAGCTAGAAAGCCATGTCAGTTTGCGTTCTTTGACATTTCAAAAATGAACTATTGTAATGGAAACATGGCAAATTTCAATAAAACGTTTTGGCACTAGGATGAATTTGGTTTTTGGCATCACATGGTCAACATGTTGCCGCTGGTGCAGACCACAAAGAGAAGGCAAGAGGAAGTACTTGGATTATGCCGCACTGAGCTCTCTTAATGACTTATCGCATGCACAAACTTATTCGCGTGTGATTTTAATTGTATTTCTTATTTAGTGGAAACACTGCAATTGCAAAATCAGAATATCGACCAAGTTTTGCACACATTTGTAATGGAAACGCAGCTGGTGTCATCCTGTTTGATCAACTGATCAAGTCTGATTTATGCTGTAAAAAGAAATAAAAAACTCATAATGTGTCATCCAAATATGTATAAATGCATTCTTGTTTTGAAAACTCCAGCTGAGACTTTTGGAGGTAACCTTTGTTGTTTTCATAACCTCATTGAATTTCCACCCACACGCGGCGAGTGTGAGTAGGTTCTATCAAATTGCAGGCTGTGCTGAGGGCTTCTTTGGAATGCGAGTTATTCCGATCACGCTGTTTGTATGCATGTGTGTTTTTGGGTCAGCAGAGCAGGATTTTGGGAGAGGCCCTGAATTCTGATTGGCTGTTTACTTGTTGAGAGATTTGGTTAAAATGCGCTGCATCGCCTGTCTCTCTCGTTCACTCCCCAATTCCCTCCACTTCTGTCTGAGTTCACTGATGATGCTTTGCTGAGAAGCAGGTATGTTTCCATGGCAACCGGGAGACTAACTCCAGCCTCTCTTGTCATTCCTTCGCGAGCTGTTTCTGGATCTTTCTCCAGGTTGATCTTTGCAGTAGAGACTCCATCAGGCTGAACACTGCTGATTTTAATCCTTGATATAGATTTAATAACATGAAACATAGTGGCTGTTACTTCACTGTACCGAGAAGAAACATCACTTAAAAGTAATAATGATGTCGGTGTTGATATTTTGGCTGGCAGCCTGATCTTTTGCACAGCTAAAGTGATTATGGGTTCACTTTAAAGATCTGCAGCTCGAGATTTTTACTGAAATGCTCGACTCCTGGAGCGTCCTACTGTTTCTTTATCTGTGTAGCACTGACATCCCCAGGCTGGCTGTGTCTACTGCAGTGCAACACACTCATAAATAATCAATGTGTGAATATATAAATCTTGAAAAATCCACAAAATTCTTGGCTCTTTAGAATCTAATGGAGAGACAAGGGAGAACATCCAAACTTCCTGCAGAAAGTAAATATACAAAACAAACCTATCTGAAACGGTTCCAAATCTACAAACCCACTAAGCTAGTAACACTCTACTAAACTACAAAGTAAAAGATGAAAGAATGATGAAGACCGAATGACTACAAAAAAAATAAAACTTTAAAGAAATATACAAATAAGACATAAAGCCAATAAAACTCTTTTAAGAAAGATCTTGAGATAGTTCCTTTTAGCAAAATATTTTGGTTCACATTCTTAGATATTTGCTTAAATCTTGTTCATTTATAAAATTTTTGAAATGTCTTTATTCATAGTAATTGCTTGGAGCTTTTTAAGACCGTTTGTGTCCCTTTGAGAATGTTACGTTAACAAAACAGATTTGTTTAAGAGGAATTTGGACTAACTTTCCCTAAGGTAAACTGAGATTATAGAATCCAGCGTGACAAAAAACATTATTTGGTGATTGCAGTCATACTGGACTGAAATTTACAAATATAAACTTATTCAACCCAACATCACTGTTCATCACTGACAAAAAAAAATCTCTAAGATTATGTTTGTCAAGATTTTATTTTATTTTTCTTTTATAAATTATGACTGATCCTTAGATAGAATTATA